CAGGCTGTCAATCAGGTTTGAACACACCTCCGCCGGTATCTTGTCCCATTCCTCCTGCACCCTCTCCCACATCTCCAGCATTCCCCTTGGCGGCTTTTCGTACTTCCCCAGCTGCCTTTTCACGTGTGCCCACAGGTGCTCAATCGGGTTAAGGTCCGGGGAGCACGACGGCCATTCCAGCACCGCGTACTCCTGCTCCCCAAGCCAGTCTTGGACCAGACGAGACCTGTGCTTTGGATCATTGTCGTGCTGGAAAATGACCTCTGAGGGGGAAAGCTTGAAAAAATCGATGGTCTGTTTGAGCTCATCTTGCAAGATGCTGCGATACAGCGGCCCATCCATCCTGCCATCTATCTTGCACATGAACCCCACCCCCTCATTCGTCATGCAACCCCACACAATCACAGAACCGCCCCCATGCTTAACTGTCTGTTGGACTTGATGGCTCCGAAGGCTGGTGCCCTCGCGAATCTAGGCGTACGCACGTCCGTCGGAGCAGTAGCGGTTTATCTTTGTCTCGTCAGACCAAATCACCCGCTTCCAGTCCTCCAGCGTCCAGTCGGCATGCGACCGTGCGAAGTCGAGACGATCTCGGATGTTTTTCGGTGAGAGCCTGGGTTTCTTGGGCTGATGCACGGCGATCAGCCCCGCGGATCGTAATGAGTTCCGGACCGTCTTCGAGTCTACGGCGAGACCGTGCTTCTCCAACAACACATTTGCCGCTTCTACAGAGCTTTGCACCTCGCCGCTTGTAATCGCGCGTATTATTCCGCGCTGGAGACGGGTAGTGATTAAGCGGGGGCGGCCGGACGAAGGCATCGTAGGTCGCACCTCCTCGAGACTAGTCTCGGCAGCCACTTTCAAAGTGTAACCGTGCACGGTGCTCTTGCCTATTTTCCTAGTCGAATGCCCCGCATGCAACATGCTTATGATTCGCGCGCACTTCCGCTCAGTTAACGGCTTCATGGCGATGCGGTCGTAGGCTCGCTTCCGGACTAACTCCTAAGCCAGCAACTGTTGCGCGTGACGATGTACACACTGAGTGACGGGGGAAAATAGATCTACTCTTCCGCTTGGTTGGAAATGTTCGCATCGATAGTCGAGGAGTAAATTTCAACCCCACTTTCAAGTTGTGTCACAATCGCGCCAAGCAAGAAACGGTTGAAGCAGAACACGAAAACCTTGTAACGGAATGGCAAAAAACGGGTGTTACTATTTTCGAATCATGAGTGGGATAGCGATACGTTTCAAAGTGCTAAACATCCAGGCAATTTAATCCGCCACTGTACGCTGAGGCGGTCTCGGGACCCTGGGCCTCTCAGTGGATAGCTGCCATGGAGCAGGAGATGGCATCTTGGAGATCCACCGGCACCTACGTCGACGCAGTTCCCCGACCTGGGGTGAACGTAGTTGATGGCCGCTAGCTCTTCAAGGTGAAGCGCCCCCCTGGAGAGCCGCCTGTATTCAAGGCGCGCTACGTGGCTAGAGGTTTCAGTCAGCGTGAGGGGGTGGACTTCTTCCAGACCTTCGCTCCGACCCCGAAGATGACTACTCTTCGGGTGCTACTACACGTAGCAGCGCAGCGTGACTACGAGCTTCACTCCCTCGACTTCTCCACTGCGTTTCTTCAGGGCAGTCTACACGAGCAGGTCTACCTGCGTCGCCCTCAGGGCTTCACTGGTACCTTCCCTCCTGGGACCCAGTGGCTCCTCTGGCGCCCCGTCTACGGCCTGCGCCAGGCTCCCCGTGAGTGGCACGACACGCTGCGTGCTACGCTTGCTGACCTGCAGTTCTTTCCGTCCTCTGCAGACCCCTCACTCTTCGTTCGAGCTGGCCAGACTCCGTTCTACATCCTTGTTTACGTAGATGACCTGGTCTTTGCCACAGCAGACAGGGACGCACTGGCCTCCGTGAAGGCAGAGTTGCTGAAGAGACACACCTGCACTGACCTTGGAGAGCTGCGCCACTACCTTGGCGTGCAGATCTCCAGGGACAAAGCAGCCCGCACCATCACTTTGACTCAGTCACACTTGGTGCGCCAGGTCCTTCAGAGGTTCGGCCTTCAGTTCTCCTCCGCACAGCCTACTCCTGTGCCTCTAGACCACAGGCTCTCCGCTCCAGTTCCTGAGGAGTCAGCAGAGCCCAGTGGTCCTTACGCAGAGCTGGTGGGTTGCCTCATGTACCTGATGACTTGCACACGCCCAGATCTCGCATACCCTCGTAGCATCCTGCCTCGCTTTGTGGCTACAGGCAGACACCGACCTTAGCACTGGTCTGCCGCTAAGAGGGTTTTGCGTTATCTTGCAAGTACATCGAGCATGGGGTTAGTGCTAGGAGGACGTAGACCAGTGGTCCTTACTGGACATTCAGACGCTTCTTGGGCAGACGACGCCGAGACCCTTAGGTCCTCACACGGCTACTGCTTCAGCCTTGGTTGAGGTGGCGTCTCGTGGAGAGCTACCCTCTCCTCCTCTGTTTCCCAGTCTAGCTGTGAGGCCGAGATCTACGCCGGTGCCATGGCGGCACAGGAGCTCCGCTGGTTGACCTTGTTGCTCACTGACTTAGGTGAGCGGCCTAGCTCTGCCCCGGTCCTGTATGCTGACAACATGGCCATGATCCTCCTATGTCAGGAGCCTCGACTCGAGGGCAGAGCGAAGCACATTCAGCTGCGGTACTTCCTCCTGCGTGAGCTGCAGCAGCGTCGCCAGGCGCGCGTAGTACACTTGGCCTTCGGTGCCAACACAGCTGATATCTTTACGAAGGCACTTGCGCCTAAAGATCATCAGCGGCACTGTGTATAGCTGGGTCTCGTTCCTGTAGCCTCTCACTTGCTAGGGCCTTGACTTTGTACTGTCCTTTATACATATATTTTACCCAGACTGGCCTTGTGGCCTCTCCCAGTGGCTGGACTACTAGTGCCGTCCTGGGCTTGCTCTTGCCTTGTCTGTACTCCTTTTGACTGGACTTTAGACCCTTGTCTCAGAGGCTGGACTAGTAGTGCCGCCCTGAGCTGCTTCTTC